CGTTTGCTCCAATGCTTGCTCGCGACGATCCTTCTGTGGGCTCGGCCCGGGGCTAAGCGCATGGGGCACCGCTGCACTAGCGGGTGCATGTACTGCGTTGTGGTGATGAGCAACTGCGGCTGGTGCAGATGTAGCAAAGTGGGGCGCGCTTTGTGCGGGATCAATGGCCGATGATGTGACAGGCACATTGTTGGCGAATGCAAGCACAATCAAGGGCACAAGCGGGATTAAAGAAGACAAGCGCATATTGGAAAATGGAAGTAATATCTTGAGAGTTATATGGAAGGTGAGGTATTGTGCAACAAAAAATAAAGCGATAATGCTGGTGTTGGTAGCTTTTATACGTCTCCTCCCAGAATGAGGCAGTTGTGCATTTGGTCCTTTTTTGGTCCACCAGGCGACAAGTTCTCTGGTGTTTCAGATGCATTTCCCAAGGCGCAAATCTAACGAGGCACTTTTTGCTTGCTTTCCTCAGATGCGGCCTTTGTGCAAGGCAGGCTCACAAACATTTTTTTCTTGGATGGCATACAACTTTTTGCAAATGGAGGTAGCGGGCTGGAGCAGTAGCAGGTAACAATTTCCAAAGAGAATTTTTTTTTGGTGCGGGGGTGTTGCTCCAAAATTAAATTCCCCAGAGTTTATTGTTTGTGTGAGTGTGAATGGGGCACACGCACACACGCTCACAATATGGCTTTAAAATATGTTAATTACTGAGAAAATAGCAGCAAGCGAATGTTCGCAAGAGTATTAGAAATGCAAGTAGCTAAGCGATTAGACTGGGTAAAGTAGCTAATTGTGCCGCAAAAAATTTGGTATTGAACGGTGTGGAGCAAAATAAGGAGTGATGAAGAAAGCAAAAGGTGAGCGGTATTCTTTGAGAACTCTGCTCATGTAACCTCGTGTCAGTCACAACATAGTTGACTAAGAAAAAAAAAAAAACGTTGGAGTAACGGGGTCTCGATCCCCGGGCATCTCGCATGCAAAGCGAGCACTCTACCACTGAGCTATTACCCCTTTTCTGAGCTATTCGCCCGACTTTTAATTATCACAATATTGCAGCATACTTGATACAGAATGTAACATAGTGGCAAAGAGGTGACACACTCTATGTAAAATTGGTGAAGATTCTGCTATGGCAGAGGAACCAAATCCTCCAGCAGGAGGTGGAGGTGTCCAACCTACCCAGCCCGACCCCCATAGGAATGTGCCGGCTTTTGTCAGCACCATCCATGGTGAGGATGGGCCAAAGGGTCTCCTTGTAACAAAGGCGACTCTGGGTGGGGGTGGTTTGCCACAGTAAACTTATATAAAATTTAATTTTATTAAGATGTCTGCGACAATCACTACATGGAATGTACAGGGACTGAGAGAAGATGCAAATCGAACTCTTTCTCTGGACTATATACACCAAACAATAAAAAGCGACATTGTTATTTTACAGGAAACACACTGGAGCTCCTTGGATGCTCACTGGACCCCACAGTGGGCATCGCACCAGTGCTGGACTGAACATGTGGCAATATTATTAAAAAAAGAAAGAAACCTTTCTTTCACCTCTGAGCCGACAGTCCATTTGGAAGGTCGGCTTATAACTGCAATTATTTCTTCTGATCTATTTCCTCAGCCTATTACTCTACATGCGATATATGCGCCCCCTGATAATGAAGGTGGGTGCTACGCAGACTTTGCATGCATGTTGGGCAAGCTGGTTCACCCAACACCCTTCACCATTATTGCCGGAGATGCCAATGCATGTCCTAATCCTGGTATTGACTGCGCCCCCTCAAACAGCAACCCTGACCCATGGTGGACGCTCTTGGAGCCTGTTGTGCTCCAGATCGGACTCATGGACTCAGTCAGATTCTTGCGGCCAGAGGAGTCGATCTACACCTGGAAGAGACACAATTCGCTATCCCGCATCAACCACATATTTGTCACGCCAGATTTTACAAATGCGATCTCTAAGCCACAGGTTGACTACCCGCCATGCTCAGACCACCGCCCACTCTCACTCGACATCAGCTGGAGGCAGCAGGTAGCACAGGAGCACTGACCATGGCACCTAAATGCTACGCACCTGTGACATGCCAACTTTGAGCAGAGATGTGCTACGATTATGCAAGAAACGTGCTCCTTCACACCTGACATGTCTGCGACAGAGATGGCAAAGGGATGGTCGCTGTGCAAGCAGTACATTCATGAGTTTGCAACTCACTTTGGAATGGCACTGGCGAACTGAACAAACCTGCTAATGGACACCAACATTAAAAAGTTACGACAACTGGAATGCAAGCTCTCCAACGACATGACGCTAGCGAGACAGGAGACATGGCTGAGCGAGATGGTTGCACTTCAGATAGCAATCTCTGCCTGAGCCACACAAGTATTGGAGGGACGCCATGTACAGGCTCGAGCTCACTAGTGTGAACAGGGAGAGCGATCAACGCGATACTATTTCAGCTGCCTCAAAGCCCGAGATGCGGCCACATATGCTGTTGGCATATGAAATGCCAACATGCGTATTGCTCGATCAAAGTGGCTCGCCGCGATCACGTGTTTACCGCCATCTCCTAGTCGGAGGATCGCCCAACAGATGGCGCCCGAGAACATGGTACAAGAGGACTGGGAGGAACTCTTATCTTCCTTTTGGTAGTTGTTTTAGGTTATCTATGAATGAATTTATTTTTGTCTTAAACAAAGCAGTTTTGAACTAACATATGCCAGCAAGCTGCTTGCAGCAGATGGGCAACCTGTCTCAACACCAGATGGTATCAAGGCACACCTGAAGGAGTTCTACTCTGTGCTTTTTGTGTGAGGGGACACAGACCAGGTGGCGCAGGATACCCTACTCACAGAATGGCAAGCAAGGCTGACTCCGCAACAACAAGCCCTCCTCAATGCAAACTTCACTGTGACCAAGATTGCAGCAGCTATGAAAAACACACCCGATTTCAAAGCTCCAGGCCCTGATGGCCTGACATATGAGTTCTACAATCATTGGCAGAGAAAGACAGCTGACATCCTCACCAAGGTCGCCAACCAATGCTGGGAAGCGGGGATGGTGCCTGCCTCGTGGAGAAAGATGACCATCATTCTTATCCTGAAGAAAGGCAACCTCCATGACCTAAGTAGCTGGTGGCCCATCTCCCTGTCAAACTGTGACGTCAAAATCATCACGCAAGCCCTCACGGCTTGACTGCAACAGGTTATCAGTCTCCTGATCAACCCACAGCAGATGGGATTCGTCAAGGGCTGGAACATCTTCAACAACATCCACACAATCCATCTCGCAATCCAATGTGGCCAGCTAGACCCCGATGGCCTGGCCGGTGCCCTGCTGATGCTCGATCAGTGCAAGGCATATGACTGAGTGGACTGGGAATACTTTGACTGCTGCATGGCCCACTGCAGCATTGGAGAAAGGTACCGTTGCCTTGTCCTATCAATCTACGAGGGGAGTACAGCAGACGTCAGGTTTAGCTCGTGGACCGCAACTGGCATTCCTATTTGCCAAGGACTCCGTCAAGGGGACCCGCTGTCACCGCTGCTGTATAACCTCGTCGCCGAACCCCTGCTATGCTACTTCCGAAAACGCCTCGCGGGCATTAATTTGCCAGGCTACAACCTCCGGGCGATAGCCTTCGCGGACGACATCGCTGTCGCGCTGTCCTCCTCCACCGACGTAGGTGTGTTCCATACTGCGACCGATTTGCACAGCCGCGCATCCAACGCAAGGCTGAACGATGATAAAACGGAGATGCTACGTATCGGCCGACCGTCGTTCACACTGCCATGCGCAATCCTACCGAACAACACTGCAATGCGATACTTGGGAATTAGATTCACCGAGAAGGGCGTCGCCACCGTCCAAATCGAGGGCCTGCTGATCGCGGCGATCCAGGCCCAGATCCACCGCTGGCGCGACCGACAGATATCTCTGCAAGGCCGCGTGCTCCTAGCGAACTCGGTCCTCATGGCGAAGCTCTGGTATGCCGCGCGCATCGTCCCCTTCACGGATTCGTTCTACAAGCAAGTGCACACAGATGTACGTCAGTTCATATGGAAGTCGAAGCGCTCCAAGGTCAGCTGGACGATAGCCACATTGCCTAAAAAGCAAGGTGGCCTTGGACTGCTGAACCTAGAGAGCCAGTCGACTGCTATCTTTGCTCAGTTCTGCGCGCAGGTGTTCCGCCAGAGGAACTCGCCCTGGTGGGCGGCCACGGCCCAATGGGTCATGGACCGACATCTGAGCAAGAACAAGAAGCACTCGTCCGATCTACTCACCAAATCGCCTCCCGCGAGCTGGCCCAAAGCCATCCCGGAATTCTGGAGGCGAGTGCTCAGCAGCTGGAAAAGCGTTGGGGGCAGGGGGCCCGGCAACGACTTTGAAGGGTCTTTGGAGTCGCTGCTCGGCTTACCTTTCGAACACCCGGCGGTCAGCCTGCTCACTCGGCTCCCAGCGAAAGCGCGGAACAGCATATGGTCCAACAAGATTTTTATGCTCAGAGACGTCTTTGTTGTTCAACGGTATGTGGTCCTCTTAATAATGACGACTAGCGTCTGTGTATTCACTGTTTCCGAGGGTCTATTAAGCAATAAACAATAGAAAAGTATGAATGTAGAAAGAGGTGGGCCACATCTTAGATCCCCGTGGGCTGGGATTGAAAAGGACAGTCCTAGAAAGGCCCTATCCTTGATTGGGGATGCATGGGGTAATTAGACCATCTAAATTACCACATCTCCCCCCTCTAGGATAAACTCTGGCGGCCATGTTATTAGGCGACATGGCCTAGAACTAGGCGCAGCTTATCTCTGAGCTGCGGCGGCAAACTGTCAGCATAGGCCAATAGGAGGGAATGGTCTGCGAATGTACTAGGCTGCTGCCAAGTGCGATGTTCTGCTGAATAGCCACGCCAATGTGTGAAGAACTCCAGCTGCTTGCCACGGACGCGATGCTTGACGATATAATCCACCTCGTAGTGATCTGCCGGTGCTTCTGGTGCGACTTCCAGGTGGATCAATTGCTTGGGTGCATAGCGTCTGACTGGCAGCTCCGGTGCATCTGAGTCCATTGCTCTAGAGAGGCTGATTGCGCCTCCCTTAGATATGGACTCGACTACAAAAGGACCGATTAGTTGTGGCATGTGCTTGGGGGGCGTGGGTGTCACCCGCGCCAAGACCAGGTCGCCAACATTAAAATCTGCAAGAGTGTGCGCCCTATCAAACGTCGCTTTCAGCTTGGCCTGGTATGACGACAAATTGCACGCTACGGTGGGGAGGATGATGCGGTCACGAAAACTGGCCAGCTGTTCCACCGTGAGCTCGTCCGAGAGCTTCAAACCCGACTCCAATAGCGCCTGCGGAGGTCCTACTGCTCTGCCAAACATTGCTGTCGCTGGTGGCATTCCAATCCCGCGGTGGGTGTGCGCGTTGAGCGCTAGCTGCACGAGGGGGAGATGAAAATCCCACTCTGTAAGCGATCCCAACGCCATACGCTTTAGCGCTGCCTTGGTAGACTGCACGGCGCGCTCTGCAAGTCCATTTGCTGCCGGGTTATATGGCGTCGTTCTGCGGTGGTCAATGCGTGTGCTCTTAGTCAGGTACTCAAACACTGCATTGCAAAACTCGCGGCCGTTGTCTGACTGGATAATGTGCGGGAAACCCAGGAATGCAAAAACATTGATAAGAGTGCGAGCCACCACCATTGCGGTTTTATCCAGGATGGCAGCCAATGCCACGAACCACATAAACACGTCAACCATGACCAGGATGTAGGTATTCCCTGCCTCAGTTATGCGCAACAGTCCTGCCAAGTCGATGGCTACGTGTGACATTGCTGTCACTGCTGATATCGGCGTCAAAGGCGCGAACTGCATCTGTTTTAGTGAAAATGCGTGGCACTGCGGACATGCCTCTGCCATAGCATGTGTGTCCTGCTCAAGCGTTGGCCAGTCAAAACCTGCTGCTCTCATGGCGTTCGCTAAAACTGCACCCTTAAAATGCCCAAGCTTGTG